AATTTGCGTCGAAGTGCCTTCACTAGTTATAGTCTTTAGATAGATTTCTTTATTCCTTTATGTATCTAATTTTTTATGTACTTGTATTCATTTTCTTATATTTAATAAAGTTTTGCGTAATATCGCCCTTTGCCCTTTAATAATATTTGTCGTTCGTCAAATGATGTCATACCAAATGATTTATCACGTGATTTAATTTTCTAATAATATTTCAGTTATCGCACAACTTGTGTATTCGAATCATAAAAAAAATAATTTTTAAATCATGAAATAGAGACGTCTCAAAGTATGTTAAAATTTATTATTTTAAGATTTTAAAGCATAGCACCCTTTCATTTAATTTATTTGAGTATTTACAATTTGGCTAATTAATTACGCAAATTCTGTCCTATTTACAGGCAGTCGCGTATTAGAATTGATTCTTGCTGTTACAACTGCAATTGTGCTTTTTTATTAGACCATGGGTCGTAAGATACATTCCAGTTATGGTAATAGAAGCGCTTATTTAATAAAAAGGGCATTGGCAACATAAAATTATTACGTAAAGACTACGATCATGTAATACAACGCAACGAATAATTATCTTAAAGATATAAAATTGTAATATAAAAAGCTTATATAAAATAAGTAAATAAATAAATTATTGGATAACATATTCTAAAATTTTTAATGCCATAAAAAAATAAACAAAAATCTTAAAATATAAAAATGTAAATTATATCTATATGTACTTATGTGTATAAAACTTCGTTTATAACTTGCCAATGGGAATTTAAAATGAGGAAAAATAATATATAAAGATTATTAGATCATAATCCACAAACGAGACCATCTCCTCGAAAATGAAACGTGTCGAAAAAACTTTCGCTTGGTATTCTCTTCTCATTAATTTTGCTTTTGGTCATAACCCACCATATCGATACGTAAATTATTCTGAATCCTTTTATTACATCAAACTCAATAATAGTTGCTGGAAGAGCATCCTCAAAATCGAAGCTCATATCGAAATTCAGTGGTTCAACTTCTTCAGGATTTTTATTCTCTCGCTATACTGTTATATATTCTGCTAATAAATATTTCGAGCGAGTTCATTTTAGAAAAGGAATCGATAATGCATTATATGAGATATGAAAATGCGTTGCCGAAGAAGTGAAACACGATAACCCAAAAAAAAAAAGTTTTTTTTTCTTTATTTAATGAATGGAACAAAGAATAAAAAGCCAGTAGTATGTGAAAAAAAAAATTATTACCATTATTTGACAGAAATACAAAACAGTTGATCACGGTAAAATTAATATATTAATTATAGTACGGACAAAAATTTAACATTAGTATTAAAAGTTTATTTAATTCTTAAAAATGCCGCCACAAAATATTATTTTCTTTAGAATAAAACATTTGTATATCCGAACAAACAAATATGTTAAATCAACAATAACGCAAGCAGCAAAATGGAAAAATTACTCTGTTCAATCAATTAAAGCTGCAATTGCATGACTTTTTCAACAGGTAAAAATCATTAATACCTCATAATTAATTTCACAAATAAATATTTATTTAGTCTAATTAATTCATTAAGAAATGCATCTTATATCGGCGGCTGTCATTTATATCATATCATTTATTTTCCGGTAAGAAAATCTGCGCAAATATGTATATTACGCTTATTGATGGGAGTGTACGGTATGATAGGATTCGATAGGTAAGGTATGATTGATTATGTTTATGTACTGTATGTTAAATAATCACAACAAAAAATCATTAATAATTTAATCCTTTAGGTACTATTAATCATATGATGGTATGATACAAATCATACCGTTATTTCGAATAATCACAATGGAAAACCGTAAACCCGGATATTATTAATTACATTTCGTAAATAATGTTTTTATGTATGATGGTATGATGATATTTTCCCTATCATTTTTTTTCATTTAAATTAACCTTTTCTCTGTAACACTTTCGCTTTATCATTTTATAATCATGTCTACAATATCTGACACGGATTTAGGTGAAATGGATGAACCGTTAGAATTTGATCCTTTTGTAAAAGGGAAAGGGAATATATGTTAAATGCTTTACTAATATTATTCCCACCTCTTTTATATTAAAATCCCAGCAAGGACTAATTGTTCGGAGCCCTTTTTGTCCTCGAAACATAAGGCCAGATCACATATTGGCCAGGAGACAATTTGTCCAGGGACAACGATCTACAAAACGTCTAACAAAATCTTAAAAAATTAAACTAACAATGCCCAACAATTAAAATAACCCATTTATTTCTGTAACAATACTAAATTAGCTAGATACGCTTGTAATTTTTTTTTTTTAAAAAAAAATATTTAATCAACCTCGTAAAAATTTTACTTCCACTTTCCGATATTCTTAAATCACTTGAATTTTGCAATAAATCCGCTTTGTGATTCTGCAAGCAAATACGTATGCGTCAGATTTTCTTTTTTACAGAGCCATAATAATATTTACCTCGTCAAAAATGTTTCGCGAATTCAAAGCAAATTTATCAAACCCTGTAAGAAAACTCCGGGAGTAATCCCGACTTCCAAGTTTACCAAAGAAGCCTCTAGGAGAAGATAGGTAGGGTGAGCAATACAGGTTACTTTATGATATACTCAGTGTTAACTCGTATGGATTGTAGTTTGCCTTTTAAGATCGGTTCAAATATATCAGTGAAAAACTACAACAAATTCCTTGAATCCGATCCATCATCTGGTTACAAGTTTCAATATCAAGATATAGTCGATATGTGCTCAAGCCCACATGAACGAATTATTGCAACCCTGCAACATTTCCAATGGAAGTTTCAATTATCTTAATCGACCAAAAGTAGTTACTGGTCAACCAGGTAAGAGAATTCCAATTTGCTTATAATTTATTATATAATTTCTATCATTTCATAGGCAATCGATCTACAAATGGAATAACTATTACTCCAGAATTTGCAGTGCAACCTAGTGGAAATTACATCCCATTCCTGGACCTCCAAGAGACATTGATGTATTTTGTTTTGTTGTATGTTATCATTTCTGATTTATATTGCAAAAAAATAGATAGCCAGTATTGCCTAATATCTAATATTTTAATAATAAAGTGAAAATAATATATACATAGTTTAATATTTTATGAATAAAGATACACTCAAGGTCTGGGGTTAGACGCATAATGTTTTAAATTTCAATCATTAAAGACATTTCCCGGAACTCAATACTTATAAAGTATTGAGGAATTACTGAATAATCAACATTTTCGTAGTATTAAATCAAAATAAATATACCTTCAAGAATATATAGTGTTGTTAATCCATCGTAGAAATCGTTCCCTGTCCAAATTGTCTTCCGGCCAAATTGCCTCCTGGTCAATATGTTATACGGCCATTATGTTTTTTGGACAAAAAGACGCCTGGACAATTTTTCCTTGCTGGGTTTTAAGTATTAAAGAGGTGGATTTCGCTTGAGCAGAATAGCATGTTCCTAGAAATAGAAAGTAGATAGTTTAGTTAATAATTTTCCCTTTATTGGAGAAGATAACAAATAATTAATAAAATAAACGCATCTGATCGATCGTATAGAGTGCCGACGATTGAGGCAATATTTACTTGCGTTGTATCTTATTTGAATTCCGTCGCTGTTGATAATGTTGACTTTCAATATAAACCTTCTGTCTAAATTTTTCCTAGTTTACAACCAATAAAGTTTCGAGCTGCGTGTAACAATACTTTAATTTATTTCATAGTTTTAAACAATGTATTCAAGTAAAAGCATGCAAATTATCGGTCCTAATTTTTTTATAATAATATTTACATCAAGACATACTTTATAAATTTACAAAGTTGACAAATACGGTAATATTATTGGTAGTTTATTGTCTGAAGCGTATCGAAAACTTAACATTCTAGATATGCTTTGATGCATATGTTTGTTCGTCACCGGTGTCATTTCCCGAATTCCATTTTCCCGAATATACCTTTTCCCGAAGCCGTTTTCCCGATCCCGTAAAGAAATTTTCCCGAATTCCAGTATCCCGAATGGACATATTCCCGAAATTAAAATGCTATTCTATAAAATATTTGTTAATAATTAACGCGCTTAATTTATATAAATAAAATATACATAAAACTCGAATCCATGGGCACATTTAGGAAATGACTCAACACGATATTTTGCTAACGTAATAATTGCGTAATGATCACGTTATCCCGTTATAATTGATTGCAAATTCTAAAATTTGATACTGCGGTAATTATGAAACTGCAGCATGGCGTAATAGCAAGCATTGGCCAAGTCGAATTCCAATTAATTTATTTGTTGAGGGTTTTCACAACTTCTTTTATAATATCGTAATAAATTTCACTTTTATCAATTAACTAAAAATCACCATAATAGGATTAGGAATACTGGAATTCGGGAAATTGTACTGTAACCGTCTGTCCACATGTGATAACATTAGGATATCAAAAAAAAATAATTATTTTATTTTATTTATTTAATAAAAAATCATACCTTGATTTTAGCTTCAGATGCTATTTATCTAGTATGATATTAATAATTGTACTTTTCTTGAGTTGAAAAGATAACTCGAGAGATAAAACAAGTGCAACAAACAATATTTTGTTTTACCTTTTGCCGTGTCTTCAAATTGACGTGATTATGATAAAGTTATTAATTTAATTCGACGGACTGAATTTAAAGCAAGTTATTCTTTTACATTTATCCGGTCATCAACATTCTTTTCAAAGTCGGATGATGTATTAAATCATCAATTACTAACTTAATTTATCTTTTTCACTACGTGGTGTAAATTCCACTAAATTAATCTCTGCAATTTTCTTTTGGAATATTTAATCAATTATAAGGTGGCATTTTATATACTGAAGGTTTATAAATAAGTGTAAATGTTTTTTTTGTGATAAAATTCGCATATACACGATCATTAGGTGATAAGTATTCTTGTATTGAAAATTTGTAAAAAAAAATTTTTTTCTCAAAATTGAATTTTATTGGTCAAAAACATTGGTAAATTTTCAACCTTATCTAAATCTTAGTATGGCTATTTAAACCTATTGCGAAAAAAATTATACAATATTATTCCGCTTTTTATTATTCTTCCATACAATAAATTGATAAATGTATAATTTCATATCTTAGTGTCCACTAATACTATACTACTAAAATAATTAATGCATGACGCTGAGAGAAAGGCTTTAAGAAATATTTGTGTATTTCTTTCACAATTTGCGAAGAGAATAGCATTTATACGTATAGCTAAATAGAAAGTAATTCTTAAATATAATTTGAGCCCAGAAAATGAACTTTAATTTAAATTAAAAATATGTTATGTTATGCTAATTGATCAAAAGTTTATATGAACCAAATTTCGCTAAGATATATTTGGTTTAATTATAAAAAAAGTAAAAGTAAATATAAAATTATAAAAAGAAATAAAAATAAGTTATTGGCAGTACACTAATCTTGGTTTTAAATAATTTATGCACCATTTAAATTTATATTATCTATAGTTCGAAGTTTCACTAAAATATTAATTAAATTAATAATTTAAGAAATATATCTTGAGACTTTTTATATTACTTACTTTAAGGAATAACCAAATCCTCTTGATCTTCCGAATGAAGGTTTGGATTATTATATATTTCCCCATCTATGATTTAATAATTATTTAATCGTTTAATAAATAAATTATTTAAAAGTAATTCCTTACCGTCACTTTTAATATAATTTTTTTGTCCATTATTATTGAAGTTTATGGGGACTTCTAAGAAAATGTCTAATTTAAAAATTATAAAATACAATGTATTAAACAAATGTTATTAAATAATTACCTTTAATATGATTAGGTTTGATTTTTTTGATCTCGTGCACGAATTTTCATTTTATAACGAAATATTTTTATTAGAAAATATTGTTGCAAATCGATTAAGTTTAAGTGTAATAAAATTCATCATTACCATCAGAATAATTTCTTTTAGAATTTCCTTTTATTTCAGCATTTACATCTACAATATTAAATGTGTAAATATTTTTAAATTATTAAACTATATAAACTAATTTAAAATAAACATTACAATAAAAACAATCTTACTAATTTGCTTTGCATCTTCATTCTGTTCGCTTTTTTCTTTACATATAACTTTGGTGGTTTAATAAATAAATTAATACCATTTTAAATTGTTTGTAAAAGCTTAATATACTTACAGTTTGGAATATCAAGGCTATTTTGCTTACTATCATATGCTTTGTTTTAAATAATAAAAATATTAAATAATTATCAATAATAATATTGATTTTTAATTTTTTAAATATATACCTTCTTGTTCTTCTATTAATTTAAAAATAAAATAAATTTCAATAATTTCAATTATGTTTTAATAATACAACTCACAATTTACCTTTAGTAGCATTTCTTGGTTCAGGTAAATTTTCAAAAATATGAATTTTGCTAAATTTTCTAGCTAACGAGTTAGAGTTAATATCAAAATTTGTATCATATGTATTACTAATATTATGATTCTCATCATTTTTATCATTAAAATATGAATTATGAATTTCTATAAATTTTTCCCAAAGGATTATAGCATCAGGTCGGTTCAATGGATCAGCATCCCAACATTGTACCATTAATTTCTTATATGCTGTTGGAGTCCCTTGTACAATTTGTGGTCTCAATCCTTTTATTAGATTTATTGCAAGATCATAATCATGGTCATAATAAGCAAAAGGTGGTTGTCCAGATGAAATCTCCCACATAAGCATACCGATACTATAAATATCTGATGCAAAAGTATATC